TTGGGAGAAACTCACTGTACATACCAACTCAGACACAAACCATATCTCAAAGTGAAGGTTCTTTATTAAATACCATCAACTCATAAAGAATTCATCCCATCAACACTTACTTGGGGACCATGACAGTGGACGTGGTATAGTCTAGCCTATGATTGATCTTACATCCTAGTGAGGGAGGAAGAGATAAAAACAAGTCATTGTAACACCTTGACCCTGCCTTTCCCTTGGCCCTCACATCCAATCCATTAGCCAGTCCTGTGGCTCCAAATAAATCCTGAATCCATCCATTTCTCTCCAGTTCACTGCTATTTGCCTGCCAGGCCATTGTCAGCTCTTACAGCCTTTCAACTGGGCTCTACGCAGCACATGGAATGTTCTCTTAAAAATCAGACCATATCCTTCTCTTGTTCAGGGCCCTCCAATGGGTTCTCATTACACTTAGGCTAAGACTCAAGTGCTCACCATGACCTTTACAGAATGGCCTCTGACCACTCTAGCTAAAGGAGCAGCTTTCTCCCCATCACCATACTATGCACATCACCTTGTTTTATGTTCTTATAGTATATAGCCGACACCAACCCCCCAAATCCTGTTTAAGCACTTGCTAACTTGTTTGTTGTCTTTGCCCAATTTTAATGCACATCATTGCCCCTTATTCACCAAGGACAGGAATTTTGACTGTTGTGTTCACTGCCGTTGTCTCCAATACAGGCAATGATGCCTGGTGTATACCTGGCGGTACCTGATATTCAGTATTTGTTGAGGAAAATGAATGAGCACAGAAAACTGAGGAGGAATGAAGAAGTGCCTAACCTCATACAAAAAAAAAAAAATAGCTTCTTCCTTTGCCAAAATTCCACCTTTGTTATTTCTAACTGCCTTGCTTCAGCTGTCTACCAAATGCAGCTCTAAAGCAACATCTCAGGCCTCAGAAACACTTTCGTAATCTGTACCCTGCTGGGGTCTGCTGGGGATCATGGGGAGGGGGTAATTCATCACCGTTTATTTGCAATTGCCTGTATACCTAACTAAACTTTGCCATGGGCAACTCATGGCTTCAGGTCAACATTTCAGTTGTTTTAGTTGCAGGAATGTTTATTTTACTTAAAACACTTGCAATATAAAGCACCAGCAGCTTTGGAGGAAGATATGTCATTGGCTGCACGAGTCATCCAAGAACTGGGTGCGTGCAGGCAGATGCCCCTGATTGTCGACTTCCACTAGGAGAGATTCGGCAAGCGAATGCATAGCGTGCAGCCCAGTGCCACCAAACATCTGGTGGAGCAGGCGAGGAGGAAAGCAGTTAGATTTTTATTCTTTTTAGCATCATGTTAAACTGGCCATGAAACTGGGGATGGTGCAATTGAATTATAAGAGGGCTGAAGAACTAAATAAAAATCTAAGAGGTAGTCAAGGTGTTTGGTGCGTGGTGGGCAAAAGTCTAATAGGAGGTGAAGCGGGTCTGAAACACAGTAAGTGGAAAAGACAACATCTCCTTTGCTAATAATTCACCTCATTTAGTCCTGGGAGATGGGCACGCATGGGGTCTGCATCTCTTGGAGAGGTGATTTCCCCTGCAAAGCAGGGTGTTTCCTTCTGAAGGGGACGCACGCTCTTCCCCTCAAATGTCAGTGGGATCTGGGAGTGTGGCCAGGTGGAAACTTTTATTGTCGTTTCTTGCTTTCTTGCTCGTGGCTTTTCTGCCTGGCCTTTTCCACATTCTCTTTCATGTCCAGCATGTGGACAGGCTAAGCCTGTCCAATGAGAATGTTCAATCTAGCGAGTCTCAGAGCCGTGGTAAATGCGTCTGGCCAGAGCCACAGTCTCAGCTTGCCAACTCAAGGGTGGCAGGAAAGCCACTGTCTTTATCACCTTTTGACGAAAGTCCTATATGCTGCTGGATTAGTCCAAAGTTCAATCTTTTTTTTTTTTAAGATTTTATTTATTTATTTGAGAGAGAGAGAATGAGAGAGAGAGAGAGAGAGCACATGAGCGGGGGGAGAGTCAGAGGGAGAAGCAGAGTCCCCGCTGAGCAGGGAGCCCGATGTGGGACTCGATCCTGGGACTCCAGGATCATGACCTGAGCTGAAGGCAGCCGGTTAACCAACTGAGCCACCCAGGCGCCCTCCAAAGTTCAATCTTGATCATTTTCGGGGGGGGGGGGTGTCCCCAGGGATGTGTGGGGAATTGCTTAACAACTGTCTCTCTGTTCGGGGGTGGGGGGGGACACAAGCCCTGATTTGTGGCGTTTGTGGATTTCTGTGCCGTCGGTATTTCCACTGGGGCTGATTTCGAGCTACCAGGGTGATGTCCGTAAACACGGAGCTGGGAAGACATTGCAGCAGCCCACCGTTAGGCAGTGCGCCTACCGCACAGATGCCCTGACCAGAAATAACGTCAGGAGCACACATAGCCGCAAAGTGTGCAAAATCGTTAGGAAGTGATGGGGTTTTTTAGTCTTCATGACCTTTGCTTTAATATGATGTATTTAATTGTAAGTGTCTATAATTTTTAACCACAGCTGTGTTTCAACACAGGCGTGCAAATTTCCTGAAAATGTAGCACTCCGTTTGGGTTACAAGCTGGCTCAGCACTGCTTGTTGACCTTCTTGGCCTGGATTGAGTCTTGGTAGCTGGAATTTACATAGATCAAGCCATCTGGTGGTACCTTTAGTTATCAACTATCTGTATACAGGATACAGATTATCGTGGAAACTCTCATTTCTCAGGCTCTGGAGATTCTGGGATGCACTTGCAGCTGGGGCTTTGGGTTAGAATCATCTACGTTAAGGCTGATCATACTCAGCTGGTAAGAACCAACCTGGCCATAATGGTGGTATGGCCAGTGTCTGCTCTGATTGATTGGTACCCAATGACATACGGCTGGTTCTGTAGTTTGAACCTTACCTCTGATCCAAATTCTGTGCTGCACCATTCCTTCTGGAGCCTGGAATATCCTGCAGTCATGACCATGGATTAGAGTCCAGATCCCTGTTGAGGTGCTCATCCTCACCTGTGCAATCCCCTTTCTCTGCTGCCCCCATTCAGGTAACTCTTGACTTCCTGACGCTACCTCTCACCATTCTGCAGGGCCCCAAGGTTCCCAAGGAATCCGCCTCAAATGCCCTCTAGCCTGGGTTCAAACACTATAGAGGTCAATATGTTCACAACTAACAGAGGAGTCCTTGTGGATCTCAGCCCTCAATTCTGCAACCCAAGTTCACATGCCATCCCTGAGCTCAGCTCCACGTGAGAGTCTGAGACTGAGGTCCATCAGCTCTCGAGTTGGGGATATTCTCTGCAGGATTATTTCATCATTGACTATTAAATTAGTCTGCTTGGGCTGTCATCATAGAATACCACAGACTGAGTGACGTAAACAAGAGACATTTATTTTTTCCATTTTGGAGCCTGGAAGCTCAAGATCAAGGTGCCAGTAAGGATTGGTTTCCCCCTGAGGGCTCCTTCCTTGGCTTGTAGACAGTACCTTCCTGATGTCCCTTCCTCTTCGGATAAGGACACCAGTCCTGATGAATCAGGAGCCCACCTCTATGACCCCACTTAACTTTAATTATCTCGTTAGTGGTCTTATCTCCAAATTTAGTCATTGGGGGTTAGGGCTACAACATATGAATTGGGGGGTGGGGAATGACGACACAATTCAGTCTGTAACAACCACTGAGCACTTGAAAAGTGGGTGGTCCAAACTGACACGTGCCCTAAGTGTAAACTCATCACTCCCCATCTTGTTTCACTTTGTCACTTTTCATCATGTCTGGAAGATGGAATATAGCATTTCATGAATACTTTTGATATTGAGGACATGAAGAATGAGAACACTTTGGATATCTTGGGTTAATAGAATACAGTATTAGAATTACTTTCATCTGTTTCTTTTGCTTTTTTTAAAAAACAGTGTGGCTATTCAAAAACTTGAATGCACTTGCACGGCTGGCATTACGCTTCTGAGGCGCCGTGGATGTCTGTACCTGCCTTAGTCCCTTCATGTCATTCCTTCTCCCCCACCTTCCATGCCCACACCTTCCAGCCTCCTGTTGGGCTCAGCCATCCGGTCCCATCAGCTGTGCTGCTGGCCGGGGAAGGGGTGGAGACGCAGGTGGGCAGTGGAGACAGAGGGGCTTCCAGGTGAGGGAGGGGAAGGAAGGGAATGTGTCGCCCTGAGTCTGTCTGTGGTCTGGCTCGAAGGGGGGCACACGTAAGATAAATGGGCCGTCCACAATGCCTGTATGACGCCCTCTTCGCACATCCTTGTGCAAGTCTCTGTCCCTTACTCTGCCTCGGGGTGCTTTGCCAAGAGTCCCATTTATGATCGCCCCTTGGAATGTTCTAGTTCCCAGAACAGAGTTAAGGGGTGAGAGAGAGAAAAAGCTCAGTTCACCAGGCAGAGATGACTCAGATATGGTCCTGGACCTCAGTTGGCCCACACTGTCAATACAGGAAGGAGTTGGGGGTGGGGGGGAGGAAATGGACGGCGTTGTGTTTAAGGCTACGCAAGGGGGCACTTTATATACATTATTTCATCGGGTCCTTCTAGCGACCGCATATTGTATTCATTTTACAGGCGAGAACACAGAGACTTGGGAAGGCTAAACAAATTCTCCATTGTTACCAGCTCGCAGGTAGCAGGGTCAGTGTTTGAGACTGAGTCTATCTGACTCTGGGCTACCATGTGGTGCGCCTGGAGTAGAAAGGAGAGGTTTTTCTGGAGCACGTGGGAAATCTCTTGAGTTGGATTCAGGTCCAGGAAGGAAAACAAAGGGAATTCTAGGCAGGGGCTGGCATGAGCAAGGGTGGAGAGGTAAGTCCAGTGTAGGTACTCCCCAAAAAGTCCAACCAAGGGCTACCCTTCTGCAAGTCTTTTGCCCAACATTTAGGGTTGGGGGAACCTTGGGACTCGGCAAGGACTTGTAGGGACCACCCCACAGCCTGCTTATCCCTGTCAGGTTGTCTATGGGTTATTCCTTGCTGGCCTCACTCACCGGCTTCGTGCAAGGTCTTTTTTGAGGTTTATTATTTCCTTGTCCATATACTTGATGCTCCTCATTGGCTTGTCTGGCACCTGATGGGAAGCCAAGAAGTGAAAGATAGAAGTGTTAGTACAACTGTTACAAACGGAGCCAGGCTTCAGGAAGCCGGTGCATTCATCTGAGATCTCTGACCAGGTTGGAGGAGTCCTGGGCGGCACGGTGACCTTCTCTACACCAAAGAGGGGCCATATATACAGTGGAACTAGCAAGGGCTTTGGAGACAGGCAGACCTGAGCTTTGACCCTGGTTCTGTCTGGTGACTGGCTCTGTGATCTCGGACAAATTACTCAACCTCTCTGGGCCTCAGTTTCTTCAGCAGAGTGGAGGAATAATTTTTACCTTGTTGTGACAAGTAAATTCATTGCCACATCCTGACTCAGCAAGCATTTGATGAATGGAGGCTCTCATTAGCATCATACTCAAAGTAAAGCAAAGAATTAAATATTAATAATCGTTGGTCACCACACATGCCCTCCTTAATGGCCATCACCCGGTTACCCCATCCCCCCACGCCCCCTTCTGTAACCCTCAGTTTGTTTCCCGGAGTCCAGAGTCTCTCACAGTTTGTCTCCCTCTCTGATTTCTTCCCATTCAGTTTTCCCTCCCTTCCCCTGTGGTCCTCTGCTCTATTCCTTATGTTCCATGTGTTGTGATGAGCACTGGGTGTTATACGCAACTAATGAATCGTTGAACACTACACAAAAACTTATGATGTACTATATGCTGGCTAAATGAACATAATAAAAAAATGTTTAATAATCTTGTAAAAAAAAATCGTTGTTGGTGGCATAGGCAGCTGATTTGCAAAGCTGAAACTTGTCAGTGTAAAGATGCCCAGGTACATTTCTTGCCCTCTCCGTCCACATAGCAGGATTTTAGGAGTGAATTATCCAGGTGGTGGTTCATGATTTTTTTCCTCCCTTTCTAGTATTCATTTGCCTTGCCTAGCCATAAGGGAAACCTCACAAGACTTAAATTCATTGCTCAGAGGCTGATACCAGGTCAATGTAAAGAAGAGAGTTAAATTAACTGTATTGTAATATAAAAGTCACTTTTCTCAGCCCCAGCTTTGCGAAACAATAATAAGAACATTATCTGGATTACCCTGTCTTGAAATGAATTCCTGCAGTACTAATTTTTTTTTAATCAAAGGAAATCACAAGAAATTCTGGGGAAATGGGCCCTTTCAGATGAAGCTGGGGGGAGAATGCATTGCAGTGACTTTTCTGAAGGGCGATTCATCAATGCATACTAAGTGCCGCCAAAGTGCACTTGCCTCCGGATCTAACGATCCTTCTGCTGTCAGGCATCCTATGGGAATATCCCTGCATGGGCACGGAGATCCATCAACAAAATTGTTCATTGGGATGCTGCTTGTGAGAGCAAACTCTTGGAAACCAACCTATACATCTTCACAGTGGAAGACAGGTTAAATAATTACAGTGCGTCTAAACAACGGAATAGTATGCAGCAATTAAGTGTGGTGACAATATAATGATGGCAGTATATTTACTGACACACGGAGATGTCTGAGTTCTTTGAATGGGAAGACATGTTACAATATGTATCACGCGATTCTGCTTTTTTTTTTTTTTTTTTTTTGGAAAATTATCTGTGTGCATGTTCACATCTCCAAAGATACAGAAAGCTATACCCCCTGCCCCCAAATGCAGGGAGTCTCTCTCCGGGGGTGGGATTATGCGAATTTTATTTTACTTTTCCTTAGTTTCTGTGATATTCCTGGTGCTCTGCAATAAATATTACTCGGCTATGTGATAAACAAAGAGAAAAGATTACCAAAAAAACAGGAAGTGGCCAAGTGAAGTTTGGCAAAGGCCGATTGGTAGGGCTGTGTGGAGGGTGTTTTCCCAAAGGTGGAGTGAGGACTGGTGGTGTGCTCACGGACAGAAATCACAATATGGCACTGCACACATGGCGGGGGAGGCGTGGTGCTTCCCCAGCAGCTCTCATCACCTACTTTCTCTGAAATTGAAATTGTGCGGTGATGTCCACTGCTCTGGGCCTTTTAGGTGGAATGTGGAAAGGGAGGTGTGTAGTTGCATCCAAGGCAAATGGCGTTTGTGGCACTGTGGTGGGGGTGGAGAGTGGCGTCTGGAGCCAGGGGAAAGGGACTGTCACTGGCCTGATTCCCAACCATTTTTCTCCTGGGTCACCCAGTACACGTCCTGTGTGAGGCAGCTCAGATGAAGAATGGAGAGTCTCCGGGGGCCTGGGTGGTTCAGTAGGTTAAGCGTCTGACTCTTGATTTTGGCTTAGATCATGATCTGGGTTGTGAGATCGAGCCCCATGTCAGGCTCTGCGCTCAGCACAGAATCTGCTTGAGATTCTCTCTCTCCCACTCTCTCTCTGCCCCTCTGCCTGTTCGCTTGTGCGTGCTCTGTCTCTCCAAATAAATAAAATCTTAAAAAAAAAAAAAAAAGAATGGAGAGTCTCTGGCAACCCCCCAGAATACTTGTCACTGCAGCACCTTCTCATCCACTAAGTATTTAGGATACAAAAAAAGCATCCAGGATAGCCTCCAATAAACTCAACTAGATATGAAACAGTGGAATCATGTATCAACTTTATTTTTGTAGTTATTATTAACAATGAACTACAGGTAACATATCTTAATATACCCAGTTGTTTCAACCCCTTGGCTGAAAATGAATGGCAAACCTGTCAGTTTTCAGCTTAAGGGATGGGTGAAGTGGGAGAGGAGACCGACCTCCATGGAGGCATGTAAGGGTCTCCGGGAGTACTTTCTACAACTTCTACATAATGGACATTTGCTTTCCTCACACCCCGGGATCGCTTCACTCTCCCTCTTGCTACTAGTTCCCTCATTAGACCATTTGCCCCTCCCCCATGGGGGCACTTGCACTCTGGGAGATAGTCATGGGACCAGCAGCAGGGGTGGTCTTGAGTGGCTGAAGCCAAACACACCCCATCCCCCATCACAGTGACTGGTTTAGGAATGGTCATGTGATGTAGTTTGGGCAGATGAGATGCAAGCAGACATTTGCCAGGGGCTTCTAGAAAGCATGATTCCTAGATCTTTTGAGGAACCACAGGCAGTGAAGTCCTCTTTCCTCTTTGACTATAATCGGAGAAGCAGATACCCCTGGGAGTTGCTGACAGCCATTTTGTGCCCATGAGGGTTGCCAGCCTCCAGTTGAAGATGTGGGGGAAGGCACAGAAGAGAGTCAAAGAAAAACTTGTTCCGTGGTGCCTTGTTGAACTGATCAAGCATCACTAGACTTTTCATGAGCATCTCCTTTATTATTTAAACCAGCTTGAATTGGATTTTCTGTTACCTGCAACCTTAGGATTTCTATCTGAAATATGTCCTCCCTTGGGGGTGCCAAGGCAGTCAGTAGATCAAGAATTATTCTAACTTGTCTTCTTTTCCCTTCCCTTCCTCTTTTGGGTGATCAACATCAGATGACATCCATTCTGGTGCATCTTGCTGTGAAAGCAATGAGATTGGCCATGTTGAGATCAAACATTTGAAGTCAAGGTTACCTCTTCCTAATCCCTCTCTTTTCCTGAGCACCTCATTAACTCTTTCTTGCAGGACCAAAGTAACTTTCTTAAAAGATATTGTGAATTAAAAATACTTATGAACAAAGAAAAACCAAACACACTCAAATTTCCCTGCCAGATAATTTGAAAATACACAATTGAAACCCTGCTTGAACTCACTGTTGTGTACACATCACTCTCTTAAATGTCTCAAGTTTCACCCCCTTCAGGAAGCAAATATGATACTCTTCAAATGTGACATGACAAATATTCCCCCCCCCAATCTTGCCTACTGATAGTTGCCTCTAAAAGAGAATTGACTGGGGTTGGTGCTGACTAGTTTATAGCAGCAAAGCCAGGTTGTCCCCTCGACTGGACACAAAACTTGGGCAGGACAAGATCCACGCCACAATCCCTGCGATTATGTCAGCATTTCAGTGGCTTCTCCCATGTTCACTGTGACCGTTGTTTAAGCACAATTATAATAAGCCAGTGGTAATAATTGGCATTGAATGAGGGAGTTCTGTTTGTCAGGACATTTACCAACACCATTTGATATTAGCACAATTAAAAGTGTACAAGACATCCAAGAATCACTATCTTTATAACTTTCCAGAGGGCAATTTAGCCATGTGTATATGTAGCCTTAAAAGCACATATGCTCATACCCCCAGCAATTCGACTTTTATCCAAGGAAATTTTGCAGAAAGGATTAAAAGATTTATCCACGAGGATGCCTATCACAGCAGTATGAATAGTGAAAAACATCTAAATGTCCAGCAATGAGCATTGAGAGGATAAATCACGGTTTATCCAGATGATGGCAAATGATGCATTTGAATTTGGTGCTGCTATTTAATGTTGCTATCAATGTATATTTGTTGCTATGGAAAGGAATATAATTTCAAGTGAAAATGAATGTTACAAAAATATAAAGAAGTTAGATTATAGAGAGTTATAAGATTCATATTCATAGAAATCTATAGATATTTCTGAAAATAATGCACGAACACAAATTATGTTTTAAAAGTAATGATATATGGCAAGGTATATATGCAATGACATGAGAAGTTGGAAGTAAATATAACAAATTGTTAATAGGGATATTATCTCAGGGTGTTTGAATTATGGGTAAGCAATTTTTAATTTGGGTCATCTTTTTCCCTTCCTTAAAAATAATTTACCCATATTAGTTAGCTAATAAAGTAATAGTGTTTTCATGTTTGTAAAGCAATTCTGACTGCTTCTATTGGTATAAGCTAAGTGTAAGTTTTCAGTGCTGTTTTATTTATTTATTTTTAAAGATTTTATTTATTTGAGAAAGAGTGAGAGAGAGAGAGCGCACAAGTGGGGGGAGGGCCAGAGGGAGAGGGAGAAGCAGGCTCCCCACTGAGCAGGAGCCTGGGATCACGGGAGCCTGGGATCACGACCTGAGCCGAAGGCAGATGCTTAACTGACTGAACCACCCAGGTGCCCTCAGTGCTGTTTTAAATTGAGTCATCTGAGA